CAAAATCATAAAAAAAAAAAAAAAAAAAAAAAGACCAGTTTTACCGGTCTGATAAAACCTGGTGAGACCCCCGGAGACTATGACCCCTAGTTACCCTTCAGGATAGGAACTCACTCCCACTCCCGCAGCTTCCAGCCAAGCAACAGACAGGCATATAGTGTGAACATTTACATCAGCCAGATATACTACTTAGAATGATCCATCATGGGAGAACAGAAGGGCAGTGTTTGCACAAGGAGATAGATCAAGGGGCAGGAATGCATAGGAAAGAGGGACACAGGGAAGACGTAACTACGGAGAGGAAGTGGAAAGACAGCTGTTACATTGTGGCAACTGCAGTCAATGTCATGAAACAAAATGTGTTACTATGAACTGTTGTGTGGAAAATCAATTTGCTCCGTAAACTTTCACCCAAATCACAATAAAAATTAAATAAAAAGGAATTTTCTAGTCAGGTTAGCTGCCTCTATTTATGCATGTGAGAGGAGGGGCTTAAAAAACTGAAAACAGTCAATCCCTTCTGCAGAGGTTCTGCCTTTTTTTTTTTTAAAAAAAACCTGGAACACCTTGCATGCAAATAAGCAGCATATTAACAAAGGTAAAAGAATGGACCAGAGCAGGATCTGAACACACAGAATGTGGCCTGTTCTCAAGCAATGTGAAATCTAAGCTGAGAAGAAGGGAACATTATGTAATAGTGATTCTATGTGGTTTAGAAAGGGCTTCAGTTTCCCCAATTCTATCAAGGGAGAAAGGGGAAGTGCAGATAGAATCTTTTAAAGGCCTATCTCTGCTCTAAAATCCTATCTTCTCAGAATTTCTGGTCACATTCCTGCCTTGGTTCTCTGGCTGAGGCCTATCAGCACTTGTTCACAACAAATGAAGGATGGCCTGGAGGCCTCTGAAGACTGCTCAGTGTGCCCTGGGATGCTGGCTTGCTTCCTGCCCATCTGATAGCAACTGATTGTTTCCCTGATGACCTTTGCCTTTTCAACAAGATGGCTTGTCTGTTTTAGCTGATGGCTGCTGTTTTCATCTGTTGTTGTTGTTGTTGTGTGCCCTCGAGTCGGCCCCGACTCATAGTGACCCCTCCTTGGGTTTCCGAGGCAGTATCACTACGGAAGTAGGATTGCCCAACCTTCCTTCCGAGGAGTGGCTGGTGGATTTGAACCGCCAGCCTTCTGGTTAGCAGTCAAGTGCTTTAGCCACTATGCTACCAGATGGCAAAAATAATGTTGGGAAACCCCAACAGGTACTAAAACCTTAGGTACTAAAGAGAAATGTAAAAGCATCAGGGATCATCTGCCAAACTCGAACCCCCAAACTTCAGCCTAAGCAGTGATTCCCAAAGTGAGGTTCCTGGACCAGCAGCATCATCTGGGAACTTGCTGGACACCCAAAATCTCCACCCCACTCCAAACAAACAAACAAAACGAAACAGAACCCACCGCCATGGAGTTGATTCCGACTCAGTGACCTGCACTGGGTTTCCAAGGGGGTAAATCTTTATGGAAGTAGATTGCCTCATCTTCCTTCCATGGAACAGCTGGTGGATTTGAACAACCAACCTTCTGGTTAGCAGTCAAATGCCCTAGGTTCTGGGCCACCAGAGGGCCCTAGGTTCTGGGCCACCAGAGGGCCCTCAGAAACTCTGGGAGTGGAGCCTTCCAAGTTACTCTGATGCGTGCACCAAATGGTTTGAGAATTATTATCCTAAAGTGACAGACCACTCCTTTTAAAGCACAAAGTCCCAACATCTTCTAGCTCAGGTTCTGCTACTTCCCAACTGTGGGACTCTGGACAAGTTACTGAACCTCTCTCAGCCTTTTTCTGCAAATGTAAAATGGAGATAATACCCATGGAATGCAGCTCTCCCCAGGTTAAAAAACACACATGAATGGAGCCCCTAAAAAGTATTTAGTCAGTGGTGGATCCGTTTGCTGTGGTGGCTGGCATTTGCTCATAGGCCCTAGAAAACGTCCTGGCCTTTGTCACACGTCTCTGAATACAGTAAGTCCCTTAAGTCCTCTCAAGTCTCATGGACTCAAGGAAAGCCAAGCAAATCCTGCCCTCTTTCCTAAGGGACCCAGAGGTCCGAGGTGCCCTGGGCCTGGCCTAGGAATGGCCTTGGAGGTCAGCTCGACAGACCCCCTCCCTCCTTTTCCGATGAGGGACAGTGTTCAAGAGAAGCGCTTGCCCAAGGACGCGAAGCGAGACCACGGCAGAGCTGGGGCCGGGTAGGTCCCCGCACTCGCCGTTCAGGACTCTTTCCCTGCTCCTCGCTGACCACCCCAGCCCCAAAGGCACCAAGGATCATTCCATCCACCCCACCGCACCTCTCAGGATTTTCCCAGGCCTGGGCCAGCTCTCCACGCGCTAACGCGGTTGCAGACCCGAAGGTTGCCGAGCAGCTCCTCCTGTTGCCAGGCCGCCCCCTGGCGGCCCCGGGGCTCTCTGCAGCCGCGAAGCCGGGCGCCCACCCAGCTTTCCGCTGCAAGGCGGAGTCGCAGCTACTTGAAGACCTCGTCCCGCCTCACTCCGAGCAAGCTGCCGGGCGGGGCGGGGCGAGGCGAGGCGGGGCGAGGCGGGGTGGGGCGGGGCGGCGAGTGCGGCGGTGTCGGTCGCTGCCCGCCGCTAGGCTGGCGAGGGCCGCGGGCGCGGGGGCTTCGGCCGCCGCGGATGGGAGGCGGCGCCGGGGCAGGCGAACGACGGAGCCGCGGCCACCATGGGAAACAAGCAGACCATCTTCACCGAAGAGCAGCTGGACAATTACCAGGTGAGCCTCGCGCGCCCCGGCATGCGAAGTGGTGCCATGCTGCCCCTCACCTTTTTTCCTCCGTCGCTTGCCCCGGCCTTTCAAAAGCCAGTTCACCTCCTTTCAAATCCTGCCTCTTTCTTCAGCTCGCATCGTGACCTTGGGCCGGTGACTTTCCTTGCGGAACCTCAGTTTCCCCATCCCTGAAATGAAAGCGCTTTCTAATTGGAAGGTTTTTTCAGGCTTGCCTCGCTCAAGCCACCCTTCCTCGCTCTCCCCCATTCAGCCGTCTTATTCCCAACCCCAGACGGGACCGGAACCCCTCCCCTACCACCCACCCACACGCCCACCTTGGTATGGAGATGATAAGTCAGTAAATGTGGGCTGGACTGAGAACCACTTCCCTACCCCTCCTCTCCCACTTCGGGAGGCAAAGACTGCCCAGAAGAGTTAGTCCGTGAAGCAGAAATGAGCTGGGGTCCTATCTGGGCTGGGAATGAGGTGCATCAGCCCCCAGATGTGGTCTTAAGTTGAGGACATCTTGTTCTTGTTCCAGTGGGATCTGTCCTTCTGGCCTCAAAGAACTTCTAGGCAGTATGGAAATAACTGGAGTAAGAAGGCAAGCTAGGAATCTTACATGGCTATCTCTCTAAGCTCCCTCAGGCCCTAGCAACCATTCCCTCAGACCTTTCCAGGTCTCCCTGCCTCCTCAGCAACCAATAAACCAGTTGCCTTTAAGTGGATTTCTACCACTGGCAACCCCAGATGTGTCAAAGTACAACTGTGCACCACAGAGTTTTCACTGGCAGGCCTTTCTTCTGAGGCTTCTCTGGGTAGACTCAATCCTTCAACCTTTGGTTTAGTAGGTAGCATAGTGCCTAAGGCACTTGACTGCTCACCAGAAGGCTGGCAGTTCAAACCCACCAGCCACTCCTCGGAAGGAAGGTTGGGCAATCCTACGTGCATAGTGATACTGCCTCGGAAACCCAAGGAGGGGTCGCTATGAGTCGGGGCCGACTTGACGGCAAAACAACAACAATTTGTGCCACCTAGGATCTCCCCTCCCCAGCAAGCTCTCTAAATCAGAGGTCCCAATGCCCTCCCACCCACAGCAAACTTTTCTGCATTGCCCACTTCCTGCAGGGTGAAGGCCAACTCTCTGGGCTTGCGCAGAGCCTTTACAGTCTGTCCAACCCACCTCTGCAACCGCAGACTCCCCAGGTCTCGTCCCTGCCCTCTGTTCAGCCCCTCAGAACTATTTGCAGTTCCTTTGTTGTTGTTAGGTGCCGGCGAATGACTCCAGCTCACAGCGACCCTATGTACAATAGAACAAAATACTGCCCTACTGGGCACCATCTTCACCATCCTTGCCATACCTGATCCCATCGTTGTAGCCACTGTGTCAGTCCATCTTGTTGGGCAATTCCTTCACCCACACCATTTCCTTGACCTAGGATCCTTCTCCCCCTCTCTCTTGGTGATCTATCTAATCCTCAAGGCCCAACTCTGATGCATCTTCCTGGCCTCCCCCAGGCAGAGGGGGCTGGACTGCATCGTCTCCTGTGTACCTAGGAAAGATGAGCACCAGCTGGCTCTGTAAATGTCTGTTGCGTTCATGAGTATTTTTTTTTTTTTTTTAAGTAGGATTTGGGTGTAGATTTACAGAGTAAATTCACTTTTCATACAGCAGTTCACATATACTTTGTCTCATGTCATTGACCAAAATTTACAATGCAGCAGCTCCCCTCCCACTTCCTCCCCATAGTTACCTCCTCCCAGTGTCCATCCCTTCATACTCTTCGAGAGGCCCATTGTCTGCCAACCCTGTATATGATCTTGGATACACTCTCCATTTAGACATACATAATTGTTTAGCTTGTTCACCCATCTATCCGTCCCTATACCCATGTTTGCTTTCATTGACAACTCAGTATTGTATTTACAAAGGGGTTCATATTTGTTGTTTGTACTGCCCATGTAACTCTCTCTGTCTTTCTCATCCTCAATGCTGCCATATTGGTCACTCACATTTGGTACATTGCCCTTCTCTTCACCCAAATCAATATTTATCTCTATCTATCTAACAGCATTCCCTCCCCTTCCCTCCCACCCCTGGTAACCAACAAAGAAAATGTCCTCCAATACATAAACCTTTCCTTAACTTTCACAATAACGGACTAATACAATATTTGTCCTTTTGTGACTGACTTATTTCGCTCAGCATAATGTCCTCCAAGTTCATCCACGTTATGCGGTGTTTTGCAGATTCTACATTATTCTTTAGCGTTGCATAGTATTCCATTGTGTGAATGTACCAAAGTTTGGTTATCCATTCCTCAGTTGTTGGACATCTAGGTTGTTTCCAAGTTTTGGCTATTGTAAATAGTGCTGCGATGAACATCGGCGTGCATATATCTGTTCTTGTTATGGCTCTCACTTCTTTAGGGTATATACCTAGTAATGGGATGGCTGGGTCAAATGGTATTTGTATTTCCAACTTTTGAAGGAATCGCCATACTGCTTTCCACAATGGTTGTACCATTTTACAGTCCCACCAGCAGTGTATGAGAGTCCCAATCTCTCCACAACCTCGCCAGCATTTGTTATTTTCTGTCTTGTTGAACTTTGATACTAGTGCTGGAGCAAGATGGTATCTCATTGTTGTTTTGATTTGCATCTCTCTACTAGCTAATGATCGTGAGCATTTCTTCATATGTTTGTTGGCCGCTTGAATATCCTCCTTGGTGAAGTGTCTATTCATGTCTTCTGCCCATTTTTTAATTGGATTGTTTGTCTTTTTGTTATTGAGGTGTTGGAGTGTTCTATAAATTCTAGAGATAAGTCCCTTGTCAGATATGTTATTACCAAATATTTTTTCCCAATTTGTAGGTTCTCTTTTGACTCTTTTGGAGAAGTCTTTGGAAGCACATAAACATTTAATTTTTAGAAGGTCCCAATCATCTGGCTTCTCTTCTGCTGTTGGTGCATTTTGAATTATGCTTGGTAGTCTATTTATACCAAATATTAGGGCCCTTAAGTTTGAGCCTAAATTTTCCTTGAGAAACTGTATAGTTCTAGGTTTCACATTTAAGTCTTTGATCCATCTGGAGTTTGTTTTTGTGTGTGGTGTGAGGTACAGATCTTGTTTCATTTTTCTGCAAATGGATCTCCAGTTTTGCCAGCACCATTTATTAAACAAACATTCTCTTCCCCACTTAATGGATTTGGGGCCTTTGTCAAAGATCAGCTGACTATAGGTCGATGGATCTATACCTGGATTCTCAATTCTATTCCATTGGTCTATGTATCTGTCATTGAACCAATACCAGGCAGTTTTGACTACTGTGGCTGTATAGTAGGTTTTGAGATCCTGAGTATTTGTTTTTGTGTGAAGGAGAGGGAGTTTGAAATGTGGGTCCTCTTATGTGGGTGGTGGTAAAATAAGGGCCCCTTCTCCTCCTGGAAAGGAGCTCCAGTGGTGTAGTGGTTAAGGCATTTTGGCTGCTAACCAGGAGAACGTTGGCAATTCAAACCCACCAGCCACTCCATGGAGGAAAGATGAGGCAGTCTGCTTCTGTAAAGATTTACAGCAGTGGAAGCCCAATGGGAGTGGCTATGAGTTGGAATTGACTTGATGGCAGTGAGTTTGGTGGGGTTTTTGTTGTTGTTCTCCTCCTGGAAGCCCTGGTTGTTGATAACACAGATTTCTCAGCTCCCTATATAAGGCCCTGGGAAGGAAGAAAGGAGTACCTGTGTGTTAAGGCACTGTACTGGATGCCCTCTGTCAACTCACTTGATCATCAAGTGAGGTGGATTATTAGCCCCATTTTGTTGTTGTTACTTGCTGTCAGGTCAGTCGGACTATGGCAACTCCCTCTGTGCCAAGCAGAAGTGCTGCATAGGGTACTCAAGGCTGTGACCTTTCAAAATCAGATCGACAGGCCTGTCTTCCAAAGCATCTCTCAGTGGGTTTGAACTGCCCACCTTTTGGCTAGTAGCATAGTGCTTAACCATTTGTGCCACCCAGGGATTCCCAGCCCCATTTTTCAGAAAAGTAGATGGAGGCCTATGGGGGCATTGGAGGTTCAGTGGTAGAATTCTCACCTTCCATGCATAAGACCCAGATTTGATTCCTGGCCAGTGCCCCTTATGTGCAGCCCCCATTTTTCTGTCAGTGGTGGCTTGAGTGTTGCTGTGATGCTAAACAGTTTTCAGTGGAGCTACCAGACTAAAACGGTCTAGGAAGAAAGACCTGGTGATCTCCTTCCAAAAACCAGCCAGTGAAAACCCTGTGGATCACGACAGTCAGATCTTCAGTCGATCATGGGAATGGTGCAGGATTGGGCAGCGTTTGTTCCACTGTGCATAGAGTTGCCCTGAGTCAGGGGTGACTTGATGGCAGAAACAATAAATAGAGTCTGTGGACCCACCCAGTACTCTGCCCAATCAGGGCTCATACCTCTCGCTCAAAGCGGGTATGTGTGCTTTTCATCCTCAAGGCCCTCACAGCCTAAGAGACAGACCCTCATCTCCAGTGTGGCTCTTATGATAGAGGCATGTGGTGGAATGTGCTCTAGGGGAGGTCTCTTAGGCAGTGGGAAGTCAGTTGGGAAGGGTGTTCTTGCTTTGACTAGTAGGTTCAAAATAATGGAGCACTTGAGCAGACCTTTAAAAGATTTTGCCCGGCAAGGGCTGAGAACAGGCCTTCCAGGTGGAGGGGACAGTGTGGGTAAAGGCTTGGAGGTGGACACTGGCAGGCACACAGGCACACTGACCATGCTCAGAAGTGAAGCAAAGCGAGTAGCCTGTGGGGGTGGGGAGCCTGGATTCCCTCTCAGAACAACCTGGCATTGGGTTACTCTTTGGAGCCAACCCCAGTGTTGGGTTCTTATCCTTTGCCAGTACCGCCTGGCCCCCACCAGATGGGGTGGGAGAAATGAGAGCTGTGAAACCTGAGAGTCCCACATCTTTCTTCCCTCTGGTTCTCTAGCCAGCCATGCACTAGCCAGGGCCAGGCAGAG